TAGACAAAAAAGAGGACTACTGGATTCGACAATTGGGAACTGCGACACCATATGGTTGCAATGACAAAATTGATGGTATAGGTATTATATTTAGTCCTTCCTGTAGCTCGGTGAATGTGATGAATATTTTCAACTCTACTCCTCGACGTAGACGTAGTAATGGAATTCGTCATTATACATCACCTACTTTGCATGATGTCTCTATTAATGACTTGCTGCCAATTATACACAAGCCGTTAGGTATACATCACATTCGCACGAAACTTTATTCATTACCCCTTTCAAAACTTCATTCTCTGTTCAATTTATGTTTGGAAACCACTGTTACAAACCCTCATTCAAACCAATACAAACTTACAGTATCATTTCGGATATTGCAAGACTTTTCAAACCAGTTCGCATTGGAAAAGATGAAAAAGGGAAAAAATTCTTTTCTTAAACTTTCCTTTGCCAACAAAGGTCTCGATGGCGTCAACTTAGGCAATATCCTTCATCATAAATTAGTTCAGTCGAAAATACCTCCTTATTTTAAAGATCAGTCTGTACCAATAATTTCTTATACCTATACAAAACCAATTGCAACTAAAATTTTCAATTACAAACACGTTTTGCAGGATCTCAACATTGACGACTTCAAGTCTTAACCTCCTGATTGCACCTGTGCTAGTTCCCAATTCACATATAATCCGGCTGGCCACGTTATTATCGGAGAACTCAACATTGTCAATAACACTTCCCTACGAAATTTGTTATCCAAAGGTCTGAAATATCGTGAGCCTAAATCCATTAATTGGAAATACAACTTCAAAATACTGATGGATTCAGTCGAGGATTATGTCAGGCAATGGGCTAAACGCGAGAAAGAAGACGTAGATACTCTTTCCGAATGGATTAAGGCTCTGAGGTCTTTGATACAAATCCGAATTAAGAAACTAAATGGGTCTATCAATACCCACGCTACGTCAATTTTTTAAGACCCAAATGTTGCAAAACACTTGTCCTACCTCCATGACAAATATGTTGTTGTCTCCGCAGATAAAGCCCCAAATAACATCGTTTTTGTGTGTAAATATCATTACATAAACTGCTTGATAAATGAATTAGGTATTGACAATTCATTTGGAAACTCAACATATACCCTCACGACACTTACCAAAGAGGAAATCCTTGATAATCATAGGTCTGTTCTATGTTCCTTTGGAATTTCAACCAAAGATGAAGAACTGGATCTTCCATCACTGTATTGGATACCTAAACTACATAACTGTTCTTACAAACAACGGTATATTGCTGGGTCTTCCAAGTGCTCCACGAAACCTCTTTCTAAATTATTAACATCTATTTTATCAGCAACCAAAGCCGGGCTCCAAAGTTATTGTGAAACTGCCTATTCTAGAGGTGGCGTGAATCAGATGTGGATACTAAAAAATTCCAAAGATCTTTTAAAGTACATACAATCTAAGACTCTCTCATCTTGCAATAGTATTAAAACATTTGACTTTTCTACACTTTACACAACTATTCCCCATTCCAAACTAAAAGACAAATTGAAGAATTGGTATTACTTTGTTTCGTTAAAAAGAATGGCGAACGTAGATACAAGTATCTTGTCTTGGGGAGGGATAAATCCTAATTTGTAAAGAATCACTCTGATTCAAACAAAAAATTCTCTGAAACTGACATTATCAAGATGGTTGATTTCTTGATTGACAACATATTTGTTACGTTTGGAGGACGTGTTTTTCAACAGACTGTCGGAATTCCAATGGGAACCAATTGTGCACCTCTTCTTGCCGACTTGTTTCTTTGTTATTATGAGGCTGACTTCATACAGGAACTTCTTAGGAAGAAAGATAAGAAGTTAGCAATATCCTTTAACTTTACGTTCCGCTATATAGATGATGTTCTTTCACTAAATAATACAAAATTTGGTGACTATTTTGAACGAATCTATCCTATCGAACTCGAGATAAAGGATACTCAGATACAGTTAAGTCTGCCTCATATCTTGACTTACATCTAGAAATTGACAATGAGGGTCGGTTGAAAACAAAACGTTACGACAAAAAAGATGATTTCAGCTTCCCAATTGTGAACTTTCCATTTCTATGTAGCAACATTCCAGCAGAGCCTGCATACGGAGTATATATCTTCCAATTGATACATGTACGATATTCCCGGGCTTGTATTTCTTATCATGATTTCCTTGATAGAGGATTGCTGCTCACAAGGAAGCTATTAAACTAAGAGTGAGTTCCAAATGGTGAAGTTGAAATCATCCCTTCGTAAATTTTACGGACGCCATCACGAGTTGGTTGACCGTTATGGAATAACCGTTTCACAGATGATATCGAATATGTTCCTTATGTCGTAACTACAATACCCTTCCCTTTTCACGAATGTGACTTACCGAATTAGACTATTTACCGGATTTGTAATAACATAAGCAACACGAGGGGTGCCACATGTGGAGCAGGATCTGCTTACCCTTCCGGAGCACCTGAGATCACCCCCAGTTTTTGGTGGGGTTCGTGTTGCTTAGTCTTTAGTTTTCTATGTTGTGTCATCTGTACTATTATTTGTCTGTTTGACTTTTTATTTTTGGCCATGGCGTTGTCAGTTGTTTTCGATCTATGAGTTTGACTGTCCCTCTGGTATCTTTCGTCCCTCTTTTCAAGTATCAATGTCATACAAACAGATTGTTGCGGTTGCTTGCTAAATTGCAACTAAACAGAAGAAGCCTTGTTAATGGCCTGGCAAGCCCGAGATTACTGCAATTTTTAGATCATTACTATGTCCTCTTCCAGTTGATCACATAGAAAACTGTTCGAGTCGAAAAGTATACATTTTAGTTAAGTCTAGCTTAAATATTGGAATTAAGCCAGTGTCTAAACGGTATCCCTCGTTGTAGACGACTGTACTGCAAGAAAGGTACCGTAGTTAGATTTTCTATATACTTTCCTCAGAAATCTTTTTATGTTTGGCTTTAGTATATAAATGTGGCATACACTAGGTATTATAGGGCACTAGGTTTTACTGAAGATACGCCAAATCAAACCACTTTGTAATCTTCTATAAGTGAATTTTGTTGATTTTGATATCTTATGGCGGCCATCTTGTAAAATGCCGCCATTTTGAATTTTCAAGCTTGGTTCATAGCTTATATTTTCTAAACACCCAGCACTACTACCATCTCAAATTTGCCCTTAAATTTTACCTTAAATAAATGATAAATGATGATTTTGATATTATATATCGGCCATCTTAAAAAAAGGCCGCCATTTTGAAATTTCAAGGTGGGTCCATAGCTAATATTATTTGAAATACAAAGAACTACTACCATGCCAAATTTGGTGCTTTTATCATCACACCCACAATTTTGTCACAAATCCGCAGGACTACTATAAAATGCTATACGTGAATGACTTGCCATTGTAGATTAATCTTGAAAGTGAGCACTTAATAACTACAATAATGAAGTGTAAGATCCCCCAAGGCCATTCCCATAGGAAGAGCAAAAGAAAAAAATCATGAGTACTGTTGTTTGTTTAATTATCATAAATTAAAACAGGTGAATAGAAATATGATAGCATTTTAAAATGAGATTTCAACATTTTAAACGGTATATAATCATGATAATGGTACATATATTGAACCCCCTCCCCCCAAAAAAAAAAAATTTAAAAGGGGGCAAAGTTGCAGGTAAAATAATATTCAATATAATTCTTATGTGAGACTTTAAAATCAATGGATTTTTTTTAGAAACAACGACTGTTGATAAAAAACCCAATGCATTCATTAATAAACAAAAATAAACATCTGATGTTGAAACTATTGTAATTTTAAAATTTATTGATGAAGTTTTGTCACTATCAAAAATTAAACATTTTTAGAAAAGCTAATTTATATAACATTGTGTCCTTTTAAAATGAAGGAATTTCAGATATATAAGTATTAAAATGTACCTGAAGCAGAAGAAATATTCATTTTTGAATAATTTATCCTTTTTTTGTTTTCACAAAACTATTGCATTGCTATTTAATTCCATCTGTTGAAATGGCCATTAAATATGATTAACATCCATTTTACTAACCATTTTAACATTTAAACTGAGCTCACATTAAGGTTTATTTATTACAATGGGAGAGGCTAATTTTGTTATGTGACTCGAAGGTCTGAATATGTTCTAAATTGGTAAGACAATACTTGGTCATGTTTTATGAACAGTTAAAACCCTCGGCTACGCCTCGGGCTTTAAATATCCATAAAACATGACCAAGTATTATCTAACCTATAATTTATGCTGATCATTGTATTTTTACAATGATTGGTTGATTTAGGTTACTTATCTCGAATTAAAAATATTTGATATATAACCGACTAGAAATATTTCAATAATACATCAATTATGTTAGGTTCTGTAAAATCAGTCTAAATGAATGAAGGGAAAGAGAGAGTAGGTCTGATACACAGGTGCATGCCGATCATATACTGAGTTGTAACAGGTCATATCAATACAAACTTTCGGTAATTGCTTGTACAATATAGGCCAATACATGAAAAAAGTGCGACGATACATCAAGGGGGCAATCTAAAATCGTAAGTTATAGAAAAACAGACATCATCAGTAAAGAAGGAAAATTCGTAAAAGATAATCTAGAGGTCACAAGCACTGAAGATAAGAATCTAGCAACACGAAATACAACAAAAAGCGGTTGCACTTTGGCTACGAATTACTGCTCAAGTAGTTGAACCCGTGGTCATACTCATGACAAGTAAGATTCCGGTGATTAGTCGTCTTCGGTGGTGTCACAGCAGAGGAAAAAGATTATTTGATTGTGATTTTGATAGGAAGAACATTTCCATGGTTATCTGTTACTCCGATATCTAATAACTGTCAACCTAATAAGAATCATGCTGAAAGCGTCAAAGTTTGGAATTTAAATAAAGTAAAAATATTGGATGCATAGTATATATTATATTTGATAAAATATAATAATTTATTTAGAACATACAGCACATGTCACTGGATAATTATTGACGTAAGGTGGACATTGAAGAGCACCACAAATCCCAATTACAGGATGGAAGAGTTTTCCCTCATAGTTATGACCTCCACCAGTCACAAATTCTGGATTTATATGCAAGCAAACATACGATGTTGCTGCAGCAAAATTGTAATTATGAGCCATCAAGTATCCATAATATTCTATGTTCCACCCTCCATAACATGTATCTTTACCAGGTATCATGAGAATAGTAGAAGCTCCACTTGTTCTGCACACAGCGCACGGTACGTCATTTCCGTCTCCGTTCGCTATAAAAGTGCTGTCATATTCGGCACCATAAAGTCTTCCATACTGACCGCTGTATGTTGTTTTACGATAACTTGGGTCGGGAGGCAGGCAGAGATAGTCTACTGCAGCTCCGGAATGTGAATAGTAACTGCCTCCAGCAAAGCCTAGAATTAAATAATTTGAGTTATTTTATCGCTAAGTTTTTTTTTAAATGAAAATAAAATGTAAGTTTTGTTCGGAGACCTTTGCAAAAAAAGACTAGTACATGATTCGACATGCATTTTTTCAAATTCAATGAAAATGCATGGAATCTTAATAACTATAAATTTTGAAATTACTTTGCCTATTTGATAAACGATGATAGTTAGGTAATTAATTGCCACTGATCTACTGTTTAGATTTATATGTCGGTCATTTGCTTATCCGTTTCAATCTATAAGTGTTAGTGACTCATATTGTTTTATTGCATAAGGTTTTGCCTGTCTTTATTGACATCATAAACAAAAATAGTAACAATATTTTCATTAAAAGCAAACGTTATTTTCGACTAAACTATTGTTTTATCTGGTTCTATATTAATTTAATGAATTGGTAAAAAAAGCATATATGATCTTTTTATGAATGTTATTTTGGATACACTTACCAGAATAAACCAACTGAGTACTGTTATTAGGACATTGCTTCCTCCCCCAAACGGTGTAGGTAACAGCTACATCTGACAAAGATTTAGTTATGAGTTATACATGTATGATTAGTACAATATACCAAAAATGTTTCATTAATGAAACGAGCTCGTTTAAAAGTGAAATGTCTTAATATCAGTACGTTGCATGGTTGTTCTCCGAAACACATTTCGGTCTTTGGTGTCTGTTTTAATTGCAAGGATTTCAATTTTTATATGTGTGTACCATTATTTTTCTCCAAAGAATGTTTGTAGATAATAAAAAGTATGTTATTCTCGGATGTATCAGAAAAAATCATCAAAGTTGTAGCGTCAGTCAGTCACTTTCTTGAATTCATGTTAATACGCATAAATTAATTTTCTAACAAATAAGCCGATAGAAAAAATGAAATATGCTGGTTGTTCTACATTTTCCTCAAATGAACAAATACTAGCTATCTCGATGAAAATATCGATCACACATTTATCCCTACAAAAATAACTTGTTTCCCTACGGTTATGGGAATAAATGCCGTAAAGTTTGTAAAATCGAATCTACCTACTGTTGTTAGCGTCAAGAACTTTGATCTTATTTGCCTGGTCCTGAATTGTTGTTTTTTGATTCTCTATAGTTTCAGCTTGTTGTTTAACGGTGGTGTTTAAATAGGCTACAGTACTTTCTAGGCGAGCTAGGCGATCTACGATGACGAATGGATCATTCAACAGTAATCTTTTTTCTGCATTTGTCCATTGAATTAGTTGAAAAAGCACAAGAAAAAAATGAAAATGTTTAAATGTATTCATTACTGATTGAACCATCCAGTTTAATAATCTTCAGGTTATGCACCTGTCAGTTCTCGAGATAAGGTTTACATTCGAACTTGGAAGTGAAGAATACATGTATGTTAGGCAGTATGTGAAAAGATCGGGGTTTAAGGTTGTTTTTTTTTACATAATAATTTCACAAGTACAATGTTCGTATTCTTTATACTAAAACGAATACGAAGAAACGATGTTTTTTTGTGTTTTGAGCGAATGTATATATTCGATGACATTTGCATGACAATATATTTTTACATGAAGTTTAAATACTAGGCTCGGAGTTTTTAAGTGCAAACCATACAGTAGCAAGGGCAAATGATAATGCATCTAAAATTAACGCGTTATTTTCACGACGTTGCTAATGATATCTGGAAAAATCACTAATTTGCATTGGTATGTATGTATGCATGTACGTAGATCTCCCCGTTATTCGGAGCATCCCTCGAGAGCTGTAAGGGTACAGTGGAATCCGTGTACACTCCCAATCGGGATTAATGGAATGTGTCACTACCGTATTTACAACAATATTTATAAGAAAAATTCCCACCCCTCCACAAAGGGATTGCTAGTATACCGGGCCGTCTGGTATTATGGTGGCCGAAGCCCAAGTACTCGGAGAGAACCACTAGGCAGCTCGGCGGGATCAGACAAACTGAAGAGATATCAGAAGATTAATCTCAAGGTCAAAATAGGGGTCAACTTTTACCTACCGAGGCCCCAAAGTACCCATTCTAGCTAAAATCCGGTCTAGGTACCAGAGATGTGTGTGGGAGGGTGATAATCACCCTTTTGATGTACTGAAATTTTCGGTGCCCCATCGGTCTTAACCACTACATCACGAACCCACATAATTTTAAAGTATTTGTAAAGGAACATACATGAATTTGAAGTATTTGTAAAGGAAAACGGAGAAACTATATATTTAAACGAAACCTACTACAATGCAAGGCAAATAATTCTTTTTACTCTTAATTTCTTTCATCAATAAAAATAATTAATTACCTTTTTTCAGGACGGTATGTGTATTGTCCTTACCAAGGAATTAAAAAAATTAAAATTTACAAATAAACTACCTTTTGCCAAACGATCACTTACTAAAATGTATAAGCTTGAATGTTACAGTCATATATTTTTGTGAATTGTATTACTTAGACTTACCCGACCAAAATTCTCTATTAATTTTAAAAACCTTTCTGATATTTTTTTCCTTAAAATCCTGGGATCCGGTGATTTTTCTAACAAGTACCTTAAAACATGATAAAAATTAAGGCAGTACGATTGCCTATACTTGCTTACTACCACTTCATTTTAACTGTGGTTGATAGTCGTCTCATTGGCAATCAATCAGACCACATCTCCTCACTTTTATGGTTATGCAACAAATCTATCCGATTTCATCTTAAATAACAATAATTCCATTTTTTGATATTACAGATTTATATAGTTCCAAAAATCTGTATCTATACATCAACACTAGAAACTACAAGATTTTGTGTGAAGGATGAGATTTATTATAAATAATTAAATTTCAACGCACCGTGTTAATGTTAATAGAGTTAATGCGAAGTTGAACATTATAGTTTTAACCTTGTAAACTTCGTCTAATCTAACTTAATCTATAAACAGGTCTATATATAACGAAATGACCTCGTCAAAAATCCATAATTTATAAGTATACCATAACAGACACCGGAAACATGATTCTCAAAAATATAATTTTAGGACTTATGTCCATTCAATTGGTTTTGACAGGAACGATAACTGCAATGAAATCATATTTTGTCCCGTGTCTTTCTGAAAATGGCAATACAAGACAAACGTGTGCCCGTAGATTTTGTGTACCTTTAAACATTATGAACTTTAGGACAAGTGCTCAGCGAATAATAATAAATGTAAGATTCAGCAAACTGAAAAGCGGGAGTAAACTTGTATGATGAAATAGATATGCTAATGTATTTTGTGATCAATGGTTAAGTCATTTTATCAACAAAAAAAAATTCTAGCTTTTACAAACACAGTTTGGGGAAGAAAGCAATGTCCAAATAATAAGGAACATCTGGTTTATTGGAAGTGTGTTCAAATTAAATCTATAAATCTTTTTTTTTTCATATCGATTAAAAGTTTATAAAATAAATTAATCATAGAAACCAGCATTAAAGTTTTATACGCCAGACGCGCGTTTCGTGTACAACAGACTCACCAGTGACGCTCGAATCCTAAAAGTTAAAAAGTTAAGTAAAGTATGAAGATTAAGAGCATTGACCCAAAATTCAGAAAGATTTTACAAAATACAGCTAATTTAATCCATTTAGATTGTAAGAGAGTGGGTCAGAAATTTATTTATTTAGTTGACATAAATGTTCGCTATTTATGCCAATAATGTTACAATAAGTATCGATTTTTTGATTATTTAGTTTTGGCTAATATAATCCGCAAAGGTCCATATATAACGTATTGACCTTGTCAAAAGTCCATAATTGATAAATATCTCATGTTAAACCACTGTTGATTGTTTGTCTGTCGTCAATTCCTGCGTTTGCGATCAGACTCATTGAAAACAATGTCTACGTTTCCGGCATATTTGATATGGTTTGTTTTGGACATGGCACGAATATAACAATAGAATAGGAATACCGCAGTACTGTATTTAACGAGTTGCTATCAATTGCTGTCAATTGGGTATTTGACGATGGCAACGTTTTGTAGCACTGTTTTGACTAAAGTCCGTAACTATTGAAAATAAAACCAGTGTCAAATTGCTGTGCAAAATAAAAAAATGCGTTACATGTAATTTTAGTTTTGATATCAACAACGTTTGACTCTGGAATCACAAAATATGTTTTATGATCGTTTCAAAAAGTAATATGATAAAAAAATATGGTGCAAGCCTGAAGGAGTAACTGTTCTATATTCCGGATGACAAGACTATTTAACACACTTTCAGCAGTTTTAACATAAAAACAAACACCTAAAATATGCAGGTACATATATGTAGCCCATTTGAGTAACCTATTTAGAATTAATAATTAAGATTAATATAATTGTTTTAACTCCTTTAACAATAGCATGTATTATACCATCGATACTCAAGGGTTTACTATGGTATTGAAATCTGATCATCCATGGACTGCTTCCGTCGTCAGTAAAAGTGTGGCGTCCGTTCGAATGTGCGGGATGTATAATTACGCAGTCAAGTCTGGTCGTAATGTGGACAATAAACCCGATGCTTCTTGTAGAGCAAATGCCTTGCTCTCTACGGAGTCCGTAGGTGACCTGTTGCAAGGGAAAAAGTCATGCTATTATCTAAAATGCCCTCCTCTTACCACGGTCGACTACTACCTTCGACAACCTACGTATATTAAACGAATTGTTAACTCGTCCTGATTATGTATGTGATGTATGAAATAATTCCACTTGATGTCAATCAATCAATCAATCAATCATGTTAACCACACCATGATTAAACAACTTAACCATTGATCACAAAATACAACAGCATATCTATTTGGATCATACAAGTTTAGTCTCGCTTTTCAGTTTGCTGAGTCTTAAATTTATCATTATTCGCTGTGCACTTTTACATAATATTCAAAGGTAAACAAAATATACGGGCACACGTTTGTCTTGTATTGCCATTTTCAGAAAGACACGGGACAAAATATGATTTCATTGCAGTTATCGTTCCTGTCAAAACCAATTGAATGGACATAAGTCCTAAAATTATATTTTTGAGAATCATGTTTCCGGTGTTTGTTATGGTATACTCATAGACTATGGATTTTTGAAGAGGTCAATATGTTATATATGGACTTGTTCAGATTATATTGACCGAGGACGAAGTCCGAGGTTTGATATAATCTAACAGGTCCATATATAACGTTTTGATTGAGTGAAAGTCCTTACTTTATATATTACATATGTAAATAGTATTGACGTTTGAAAATGATATTGGCTCGAGATTACTATTTTTTGGAAGTAATGTTGACTCGATGTTACTATTTTTAGTAACATGGAGTCAATATCTTTTTTTAGAATAGTAACGTCGAGTCAATATGTCAAAATAGTGAAAAAATATAAAATATATATTAGGAAACACGTGACCAAATAAACCAATGAGAAACAAGAAAAATCAAACCATATGTAATATAGCCTATTAACGCTTTCTGATAGTAAATTATGTCTTTCATTAATGACTTATCGAATCAAGATTAACAACAATACATTTATTTAAGAAATAGTTACCTCATTATAAATAGAAATATCAAAAGATAAATATAGAAATATATAAATATATAAATAAACGTATTGAGAAGTGTTATAAAATCATGCTTGAATCGTTTAACTGAAGTTAATATTGGACAGTTTTAGTAAAAATTGGCATTTGTTATTTTCTACACTATAGTAAAAAGGTTGATATGAAGTGATATTGAACTCTGAACCTTTTTAAAATCACTGAATTAAGCATAGATACTTTAACATCACAGCTGAATCTCTTTTGAATGTGTTAGATAACAATGGAAAAGAGCAAAACTGAAATAATATTTCAGACCAATATTGCAAGTGTTATTTTCTTATTACATTTAATTCGCATTTTGTGTGAACGTTATAAAATTTCACCGATCCCCGAAACGTTTTCATTTTTGATACAGTTATGATGTTGACGGAATATGTTATACTGTCATTTGTATGTGCGTCATACAGGTAAACCAACATACGATTACGACATGTCTTTTGTTATCCACCAGGATGTAAAAAAAGAAGGTAAATGTCTTCCTTTCATCCGCCAGACCAACACCCTTTAGCAAAATAGCCAAAATTATCAAAATGTTATACGTACATTATTCCTATCAAATGATAAAAGTATAATATACGTGTTATCATATTGTTCTTGTTCAGAAAGCTTATAATCACAGGAAATGTCTTGTCAACGTTGCTTTAGTCATTTTATTTTGCATATTTACAATACATGCAATATTGATACATGTTCTAAGTAATCTCTTCTGTATAAATTGTGTTGAAATAATTTAAACATACATATTTTCCATGTCCATGTCCGAGGGAATAATCAAATGAGGCACTGATGAATTGTTCTTGTTTGGTTCTTTCCTATAATTTAAACATACAATATTTTCCATGTCCGAGGGAATAATCGAATGAGGCACTGAGGAATTGTTCTTGTTTGGTTCTTTCCTATAATATATACATACAATATTTTCCATGTCCGAGGGAATAATCGATCAAGGCACTGAGGAATTGTTCTTGTTTGGTTCTTTCCTATATTTGGAACTTATATGGAATTTAATAATCGGATTGAATTATTTTGCCAATTTTCATTTCCACATCTTTGTTTAAAGCCAATGACGCCTCCCCTAATATGAATGAACTAGACAAAACGAGAAATGAGATCAGAAAGAAAGAAAAGAAGAAAAGAAAATTAAAAAAACAGAAATATTGGATTGGAGGAAAGAAGAATTATAGAATGGAATCAATCTTCATATGTCTCCTAGGTCATTCGATATATAATTTCTAGTAAAATACCATTTCTATCTTAAGATTATTAGCATTATTTATCATTTCCTATATGATATTTCTCAAATAAAATCTGAGTATCAACAGATATATCTTCCTGAGAAAAGCGGATTATTTGAAATGAGTTATTACCACTTATGTGTCCCTTTAGTTTTATGTTCCAAAACGTAATAAACGTAACAACTTAATATATGTACGACTCTGAACCGCAATGGTACTCCGAAACGCGACGGTCACGCTAATGTGCGAAGTTTTGACACTGAAGTGCGTTTTTATGACTATTAAACAGCGGTATACTACTGTTGCCTTTATTTGATCACGCCGAAGTGCGATGGTGGCAATGTGACGCTATCTTGTTGATAGCTACGACGAATGCGATTGCGGTAACGCTTAAGTGCGATGGACTACATGAACTATACTTTCAATGTTTTGCATGTCGATGCAAAAGTCATT